TTTTTGACTTTTTTTCGGTTTATGTGGCGGTTAGTTAGCTTTGTTAAATCGAAGCTATGAAGACCAAGATGGTGTGGTCTTTTGTGTGGTCGCAGTCTGCTTTCGTTGTATGGAAGTTGTTTGACCTTGTTTTCGCAACTTGGTCATGTTGGTAGGACGACTTAGAGGAACGCACCTGGTCCGGAGTCCATTGTATGCTTCATCATTTCCAAAGTCGGACCGTAGACCTGGTACTTTCCCAGACGTTTCGACGGCATCGTGGTCGGCATGGTCGGCCATACCATCTTGGTCTTCATACCTTCAATTAAAGTATGGAAGTAAGGTTGTCAAACAATGCACTAATTACAGCCGGACAAAGAAGACAATTGTAAGTCAATCCTGCTGTTTGGCCTTTTTAAATTGTTGCAAACGTTATAGTATCGTTACCCGTTTCTGCAATCTAAATAGCCAAGGGCAGAAATGGAGATACCACAACCGTTTAGCACACGTTTCGTCAAAGAATGGGCTTCACTTGTCTCTGACGAGTTGTTGTGTGGTGCTACGAATGGCGATACTCACGTCTGGAAATGTACCACGTCCACGGTCCTACTCTGCAAATGATGTTGCATACAATGGACTCCGGACTAGGTTGGTTCCTCTAAGTCTTCCTACCAACATGACCAGGTTGCGAAAACAAGGTCAAGCAACTTCAATAATAACTATTAATATTATATTAATTATATATAATATTATATATAATATTAATATTACTATTTGCTGTGTCGGCATTTCTCACAGGTGGTGGGTCAGTCTGCTAGCCAGCAAGTCTACCAGCCACGCAGGCAGCCAGCCGCCCAGCCGCCCAGCCGCCCAGCAGACCAGACGCCCAAATTAGCACACATGCTCCCGGACAGCCAGTCAGCCAATAGGCCAGCCAGCCAGACAGTCAGCCGAAACCCAGTCATCCATACAGACGTACATACATATAGACAGTCAGCCAGACAGCCAAACATACACACAAACACACGGACAGACAGACATTCATACAAGCAGACAGCCAAGTAGACTATCAGACAGACATACTGACAGACAGACAGCTATCCGGACAGACAAACACTCAAACAGACATCCAGACGTCCAGCCAAAATACAGACAGACAAGAATACAGTTAGATAGCCATGCACATATACGTACAGACAGATAGCTAGATACACAGTTATACACACAGCCAAGCATCCAAAACAGACAGACAGGCACACAGGCAAGCTTCCAGACATATAGACAAACATGCATGGAACCATACAGACATACAGACAGCTAAGCACATAGTCAAACAGTCAAACAGACAGACAAACAGACAAACATACTGACATGCACAGCCAGACCGACATACATACAGACAGCCATACAGACAAACAAATAAATAGACATACAGACATACATATA